AGATTCAGATGTGTCACAGTGAATTTATCTCCAAACACATTGTAGTGGTAGCAAATGGCTGCGGTGAATAAAAGCTACACAGGTAAATGGCCAAATCAAGAAGATGCTGGAAGATGCATGATTAAAATTTCATAGCATTTAATAAAATGGAAATAGCTGATACAAAGTCCTAGATTTAAATTGAGGTCATGGGGGGGGGAGTTTTAACCCTTTCTGCTCCTGCGGTTTTAACAATCAAATCCACTATCCCCCTCTACTGTTCCTAGACCAGGAAGGAAAAAGAAACAGGCATCCTATCCTGCTTCCCCCCTTCTTCCAGAGCTAATAATAGCCCAGAATTGGTTTTGATAACAGAAACCAAGTGGATGAAAGGGTTAAACTCATTATTTCACACCCAGTGTAAATTAGGTTGCCAGGTCTGACTCAGGAAATACCTGGAGATTTGGGAGGCGGAACTCAAGAAGGATGTGATGTCATTTTGTCATACCATACCCTGTGACATCACTGAGAAGTCATTTCCTCCTTTCAAAATTCTAATTCTCTGCCTTACATCACAGTGATGTCAGCATGTTGCCAGGGAATGCTGGGGGTGCTCTGGAATTTGGGGAAAACTCTGTGGTTAGAGTTTTGTTCAAATTCCAGGGCATCCCCACATTAACAATGGTGCCCTGATGTCACTCCTAGTGTACTCAGGATATGATGAAGCTCTTCCACCAGGCTTTTTGTGTTGAGGCAGTGGGCGTCCCTCCTCTCTAGTGGGCCTCCCCCTTTGTATTATCATCTAGGAACTCAAATTTGAATTATCTATTGAGACTTGGATCAGAATTATTAGAATATTATCATATTTTATTTCAGGTTTTTAGCTGTTTGTATATTGTACACGGTATTTTGATGGAACCCACCCTGAGCCTGCTATGTGGGGAAGGTGGGATACAAATCCAATAAATAAATAAATAAATAAATAAATAAAAATAGCATCAGTGTATCACCAGTATCATTGGTGTATCATCCGCAAGGCCCCTGACCACTCGGTAAGTCCCCCCCACTGGTTGCTAGGGGAGACCTGGAACCCGTTTCAGAAGGAACTGATCCCTTACTGCAAAGTGGAGGTGAATCAGTCCGACCTGAATGTGATCAGGTATTACAAAAGTTAGAAACCAAGTACAACAGCTGTGTTAGAGAACTTTGCTTTCCAGCCTGCTTCTTTCTCTGTGAATTTTACTGTGCAATTGTGACATCCCTATATTAATTGTGTTCTGTTTTATTAGTGTTCTTTGGCTCATAGAGGGCTTCTGCTCACAGAATACAACTTTCCCACTTTCCCCCCTCCCCCCAAAATAATTTCTGGGGCCACTTCGGTCTGCTGCAGTGTGTGAGTGGAAGCCCTACTACCCATGGAAATGTGTAGTTGGGATCTAATACAATATTGTATCACCATCTTTTCTTGCAAATCTTTGTTGCTCTTTTAATACTGAATTGTCCAGAAGATAGCCCAGGCTCGTCTGATCCTGTCAGATCTCGGAAGCTAAGCAGGGTCAGCCTTGGCTAGTATTTGGAAGGGCGACCTTCAAGGAATACCGGGGTTGTGATGGCAAACCACCACTGAAACGTCTCTTGCCTAAAAAACAAATCTAGCTCACCACCTAGTGGTGCATAACACTAAAAGAGCTAGAACTTTTAGCTGCCAGACAATCTTAGGATCTCCTAGCCATACAATAATTATTAATTATTATTGTCCAGAAGAACCTTAGCTGAATTCATTGAGAGATGTACTTAACTGAAACTTCCCCATTGTTGTTTATTCTGCTAACTGGTCACGTCTATATATTAAGTCTTCAACATACTATACTAGGGATGAATATGTACTCTGCCATAGTAAGACAACCCATTTCCATTATTATGTACCTATTCAGAGACTTGGTTGCCAGCATCCTTTCATTTTGTTAGCTTTTCTCCCCAAGCCTTGAGGACATGGCATCTGGTAACTGCCTCTCTCTATAGCTTAACCCTGGTAATTAACATTGTTCTGTAGCTTAACAGTATAGTAATATGTCAATTACTGATTTTTTAAAAAGCCTCGAAAAGGCTTCTGATGCCATTGGAGAATAGCTGCTGCTGGGGGAAACGACCTGCGGACACTCAATTGTAATGAAAGGAGCATGGAAAGCCATTCGTGTGTAGATGTAGCCCAAGACTAAATTCTACAAGCTAATACAGTTCTCTGTTTTTACACTACAACTGCTGAGGGAGCTTTGGGTTAAACCAACATGTTGTTCCATACATACATTTTAAAACTTCTTGAACTAAGTAGCAAAGTTAAAGCCATCTACTGTTGGAGCAGTAAAAAGAGGGACATCACAGTTTGCACATTTCTCTCTAATGTGCTTTGCAGTGCTGTCAAGCAGGAGGGTCAAGGAGAGAGGACCATTCTCTGGTGGCCTGAATAAGAACATAAGATCAGACCAGTGTTCCATCTAGTCTATAATTAGTTTCCACAGGATCCAACAACAGGGCAAAGAGACCAAGGCCTCCCCCTGATGTTGCTTCCTAGTAGAAGTTCACTGCCTCTGAATCTTGTGGTTCCCTTTAGTCAGCAGGGCTAGTAGCCATTGGCGGACCTCTCCTCCAGTCATCTGTCTAATCCCCCTTTAAAATCATCTATACTAAGGAGATACGCGACGCTGAGTAAGAAGGTCATTCGACTGCTTCTTCCCCACTTCTGTGGCACTTATCTGCAGAGAGAAAGAGTTGGTAGACAATGCACAACGAATGGATTTGACTGTGATGACTAGCAGATCATTTGTATAATATACAAACAGGGCTGTCTGCATTTGTAGCTCTGTCAGCCCCAGCCCCACTTTCCCCATAGCATTAAGTGAAAAGACTTTTGCAGGGATCTCACAGGAAGAATTTGATAGAGGTGAGGTAAAACAAGGGTCTACAAGCAACAGTGGTCTTATCCTATCAGTGACATGTTTTTGAAAGAACTATAATCTGATGAAGGGAACGTCGGCTCTCAAAAGCTCATCGTCGGAAAACCTTGTTGGTCCCTAAAGCTCTATTGGCTCAGAATCCGGCTGTCCGACTGCAGTCCAACACAGCTACTCTCCATAACTATAATCTGGTTCCTGTCTGACCCCTGACTAAGTTGTCCTCTCCTGTGTACTACACAAAGAGGGCATTCATAGATCGGTGTGCTTATATAAGTTTAGGAGCTGGACACATATCTCCTGTTTTTAACTTATTCGTACAGAAGCTGTAAAGTAGTCTTGTGTAAACAAGAACCCAAGGAGGCAAAGGGAGCAGCCAACAGAGATGCAGAGGCCAAGAAAACGGGAAGAATGTCTCCCCCCTTCATTAACTAGCTCAATCACTTGCAGAGTGTAATGACTATAGAGCTTTAGTTGCTGTAGATTTTCCAGGTTGTGTGACCGTGGTCTTGGCATTGTAGAATGCCAAGACCACGGCCACACAACCCGGAAAATCTACAGCAACTAATGAACTCCGGCCGTGGAAGCCTTCGACAACTATAGAGCTTATTTGTGGACAAAATAGCCAGCAACAAAAATGAAAAAGTAAAGGTTTGGCCAAATGAATACATGTACTATCCAACAAAACACGACAAAGCACAGGATTTTGTGGGTTTGGTGCTAATCATCAATCATACTTTGCTCACATTCTCCTTTGATGATAAATTTCTCTCTCCCCCTCTTTTTAAAAGGAAAAAAAATGCTTTACAAAACATAATTGAATTGAAAGAAGAAACCTAATGATGGATATATTTCTATTTTAAGGCAGCTTTAAAGAAATTATCTTTTCCTTTGACTTCCCCAAAAGAACAGAGATTAAATATCGTAAAAGCTTTACAGGTTAAAGTCCCTATAAGCCTGCACTAACCTCTGCTGCAAGGGTTATTCCCACAGTGGTATGAGGGAAGTGTGAATACACAGCCTACTCCAGGGATTGTTTAGGAAGGGGCGGGGGAGGGGGCATGAAAACAGAAGGCCCTTCTACACTGGAAAAGGATTACCCTGCCTTGACTTCCCTCTGATTCCTCAAGCTCCACATGGGAGGATAACTCTTTTTAATGCTTCATAATTGGTCCAACTGACTGTCAATCAAGTTTATGTCTGAGGGTCTATCATGGGCTGATTATTTGGTGCTGCTGGGCTGAAAAGCTGATTCTGTTCCTACAGTAATATACCACATTGGCCCTTATAATAAATTCAATTTAATATTTGTTGGCTCATAATAATTTACAAAAAACTTAAATGTGTATTTTTTAATCTTTCAGATTTAAAGGGGGGGGGAATTAAATATCCATGTTTAGGACCCAATAGACAGAAGTCATGTGGCTTGCAGTTTATAACAACTGGCTTGATAACTAGATTAATTAACTAGATTAATTTTTTAACTGATCCAAGCAGTAAATTCACTTTTTGGCAAGTAACCAACAGCAGGGTCCATTCTGAACAGCTACAGTATCAGAGCTGGTCCCAGTTTTCTTTCTTTTGTAACCCCCATCTCTGAACCTACCACCAGGATTCACCCTCACAAGGCCTATCAAATTATACACTAACTCTTTTCCATAACTTGTCAGGCTTTACCAAGATTAGATTCAGATGTTCTTGAGTGGTTTTTTTCCCTGAATGAAAAACTGGCAACCCTATTTTTGTCTAGGCTGCTAAAAATATCCCAGTATATCATTCACTGCTCTTCGGTAATATCCAGAAGGAGTAAAGTTCTTTATTTATAACAAGGCCAAGTAGTCACAAGAATACCGCCATGGTGTGCCAAAATATGCTTCTCTCTGTCATCTGAAAGAAATTAAGAAACATAAACCCCCCCATGCTCATTATTCTCTCTCTCTCTCGCACACACAACATGCACAAATTCCTTTAAGATGAGAACACAACTACACATTTGCTTGCAATCATCTTCCTTCCCTACTGATTGAGCTGAAACGTGATTCCTCCAAATTCATCTTTAGAGCACTTAGGGCAAGTTTTTCTGCAAAAGGAGAGATTCCTGAGGAATAGAATCAATGTGTACTTCATATATTTGTCCCTGTGGTTCCAAAAAGCTGTAATAAATTTTTCCTGTACTGCTTAGTTACTTCTTTCAAAACTCAAGGTGTGCTTAAATAAAGACCAACTTGTTTCTGTAACGGGCGGGGAATCTAATTTCTTTTGGCCAGACGTGAAGACAGGAAGCAGATTATCTGAAAGGTAAAATTTTTTTTAAAGTGTTTACTATAAGAATATGAAACTATTTTTTATCAACTATTCTATTTTAATAAGATCGAACGTAATTTGCTACTATTACATTAGGAGAGCAGAAGCAGGATGCGGGGATTCAGTATAAATGTCACAGATTGGTGTACTGTAATATTATTTGTTTGCTCAGGGTAATGTAGCTTGTGCAAGATGCTTCTTTCAACTCACTGGGCATGTTAGTAATTTAGTAGAGCCGCACTCCTCCCTCCAGTTGCAGGGATTTATTCCTAAATTATTTTAGCTGTTAAACGGAGATCAGATTGTGATAACTGACTTGAGGATTCTGTTGCTGCAAAATTAAACCTTTTTCCATGTGTAACAGATGAAAAGTAGGAAAAAAACAGTAAATTCCTTCAATTCTGTGAATTGCAGATCTAGATCACAGCATGAATAGAGTCATATTGTTTCACTTATGTTGAGTGATGCCTTTTTATGCATTCTTTAATATGTTCGTAGGCATAATCGACCAAGAACTTTTCTTGCATGTGCGTAACTGAAATGAATGGCAATTCCACATTGGGTATATTGTACTTCTTTGCACTTCTGTCATTCAAAGGTGTTGTAAAGCCTCTGGTCTTTAAAATATGATCCATTGTGGTTACAGAGCTCTGTGAAATAAGGTTAAAAAGGTATCAACTCTATCTGCATAGACTAGGATTTCAGAATGTGTAGTTGGATAGAAAATGGATTTTAAAATGGATAAAATCATTGATTTATCACGTTGCAATATAGATTTATGCATGTGTGCATTTCTGAACAATGAAGTATTTTGCTTGTCGCATTAAACTGCCATGTGGTTGAACTTCTCACTAATAACCTTAAATAAGTTCTTTTCTGTTTCTGTATACTATCGGATATAGAAGGGGTAAGCAATGATGAGCAGTGAAGCATTAAGATTCACTTGTTTGCATCTGAGAATGTAAAAGATCTTTTCACATAAAATGTACTTACTAGATTGCATTCTGGTTTTTCCAAACATCCTTCTTTATGGTTCTGCATGGCCTTACTATTCCCCCCCACCTTATACTTCTTTAGGTGAAAACTCATTGGATGCTCTATATATTAACTAATGCACAGTAATATGACAGAGTTTGCTAGACTCTATGAAATTTGGTCTTCTAGCCCAATATGATTCCGCTCTGAAAGTCAAATTAAAAGTAACGGTGAAAAAAATATGAAGAAAAAGCAGAACTAGACAGCACAGATGTTTTGCATGTGGTTAAATTATCTCTTTTAACACTGTTTTATTTTAAGCTAAGTATTCAGTCAACCTTAGCATTGAAACCTGTGGGTTAGAATTCTTCACAGAGTTAGCACTCCTGGGAAGAAGCAGAATTTTAACAAACACTTAAAGAGTTCTTTAAAAATACTGTTTTGTCTTCTGTTTTAACAAAGGGATGGGGGGTTAAGATGATTACATTAGCAGCTTGAGGCTGAAGGATAAACGTAATGTCCTTGAAAAAATAGCTCTGGCAGAGACTGAATTCTACAGATCATACTCCTGTTTTTTTTAAGCAGGATTTAACATAGTGAGGGAGGGAAAAAACCACCCCGACAGACAATAGTAACCTCAAAAAAACTAACTGGGCCAGTTGAAGAGACATACATTAGCATTAACAATCATCCCAATAGTGTGGAGAAACAAAAGCAGCCTCCTATTCAGCCATGATAGTGTCCTCGTCCCCCCTCCATTGTATTCTGATGACCAACTTCTTAGCACCTGGAGTGCCGTACCCCCCCCAGAAGAGGATGGCCTCTGTCAGCACAGCTGTGTCTCCCCCCTGCCAACACACATACTAGAAGCAGATAATATATAGCCTTCCACTCTTACCCACCTGTGACAAGATGTTTTGCCAGATAATGAGAGGCGGGGCAGAATTTAGCTATATAAAAGGCAAGTCGGACATGCATGATTATACTCCATGATGTAGAATGGACTGGAGACATGGCCTTTTCATAGGAGAAAAGACTGCTCTGGGTTTCATGACTGATCTCCATGTGCTTGATGGACCTTGATGGATTTATCTGGACCAAGCATACCTGTGGTGTCTGGCTGCTCCATAATCATGCAGCTTCTTCATTCAGGAGATATTTAAAGCCAGATACTAATTTATTTTGGGTTAGATGAGGTTCTCTAGTGGCTGTATTCAGCATAAGGCACAATATAAAAAAATTAAAATTTCTGGATCAGAGCCAAGGTCGATCATGGCCAGGACTGTGTCTTCAGTGTTGGTCAATGAATTGCATAGCAAGGCAAGTTGAAGAGACTTTTTGGGGAGGAGAAAGGGGGTAGTTGTGGATTTCTTGTGTTGTGCAGGTGGTTGGACTAGATGACTCCTGAGGTCCCTTCCAGCTCTATGTTTCGGTTTCCTCTAATATGGAGGTTTCTTTCCACTCCTTTTTAAAGCTAGTAAGAAGGCAGAGTTTAACTTTTAAAGTGCATTTTGCCCTGCCCTAGATATTTCAGTAAGTAAAATAAATATGCCTTTTAGAAATATGTGTGTGGGTAGATGATGTGAGCTTCTGATACCTGAACAGAACAGTGTAGGTTTGTGAACTTTTAAAGTGCATATGAGAGTTCACAATGTGTAAAAGAGTCAGGGGGCCTTACCATTAAAGAAGATACCTCAATAGAATAGTTTCATTATGCTATGTGAAACTGAGCTGGCTGTTTCAATGAGATCATCACGAAGAATGGAAATCTTTTAAAAGCACAGTTAAATGCCATAACAAGAAGTTCAGGAACTGCCAAGTCAGAAATGGGCAGAAATGGTTGTCTCTCTTAAGCCATTTCTACTCATAATGATTTTTGTTTTTGGCCCTCGAGTCACAGCTGACTTAGAGTAACCCTGGCCCTGTTCATACGAGCCGTTTGGGCCGGGAGGACGGATCGGGGCCGGAGCAAACGGGCGCGATCCCACAGCAACATCTGGGGAACGTCATGCTACCGTCTCCGATCCGGCCCATCCCGCCCATACAGCGCACCAAAAAACAACCAGCTACCTGGGTGGTTCTTTCGATTGGGCCGCGGCAAGTGCGGCCGTGGGATCGCCGGCGCGTCCTTGCGCCAGCGCATCCCCGGCTCCTGGCCGAACTGCGCATGTGTGAGCATGCGCAGTTCGCCAGGCTCCCCTTCCCACCGTCGCATTCTCCCTGGCATCTGATCGTGCCGGGGAGCGATGGCGCCGCGGCTCAGGGGATCCGTGAGATCCCGCCGCGGTGTCTCAACTGTGATGTGGCTCAGATTAGCTGCAGTTCAACCGTCCTTTTCCCTGCCGTGTGGCAGGGACCCCTGTAGGACTTTCAAGGCAAGAGACATTCAGAGGTAGGTTTGCCACTGACTGCCTCCATGTCAGGACCCTGGTATTCCTTGGAGGTCTCCCAGCCAAATACTAGACCGGGCTGGCCCTGCTTTGCATCTGAGATCTGACAAGATCAGGCTAGCCTGGGCCATCCAAGTCAGGGCACACATCACGATAAAAACAAACTCTCTATATTTATACACAGGCGGAAATGTTAGTGTGCAGGCAGGCCCGTAGCTAACGCGGGGCCCGGCCCCCTAGCAGTTTTTATGGCCCCCCTTCCTGAGCCTCGGCTCCCCTACCCCAACTCCCCCTGATTCCCTGTCAGCCTGTTGGCAGGGAGGACAAGGGCAGTGATTTCAGAAGCTGTCCCTGGTGCTGTGCCGCCAGAAGAGGCACTGGGGCTCCTTGGGGGGGGGGAGCTGGACCCAGAGGCTGTGGCTGCTGCAGCCCTTGCCCTTGAGCCTTTGATTAGCTTAGCAGGCGCCCCCCCAGGCTCCCTCCTTAAAAAGTCCTTAGCTACGGGACTGTGTGCAGGAGAGAACAGAAAAGAACCATTCCTAAAATGTAGGTACATAGAGATTAGCTAATTATAACCCAAACAAAAATGCCCTGATCATCATTACTATTTATCTGAATTGAAATAAATTGTTAACATTCAGAAATCTTAAGATTTGACTGTAGGATCTGGCTATTATCAGGAAGTGCCTGCAGCTAAAATGGCAGAAGGGTCAAGGGGCTTTCCCCAGAAATGGGCTTGCAGCTGCCTCTTTAAAACAGTTGAAATTATGCCTTTTATTAATTCAGAATTTTTTACATCCATCCATCTGATAACTATTACTCTGGCTGTCTAATAAGTTAGGAAAGGCAAGGTCCAAGAATTCAGGCAGTCAGCCTCACACTTGTAAGATTTCTCTCTCAGCCTGAGGTGACGACTGAAATAATTGATTTTGTAGGTAAAGTCCAAGCTGGAAAAAGATAGAAGGGATTTTATCCTCAAAGCAGGCCATTGAGAGTTCTACTACTACATGAGGGCCAGAAGATAATATGTCCTTCATCATTCAGAACAGCTGTGGTGACTGGCTTTGAGCATATGCAATGGTGGTAAAAATATTATTTTTGTTGTCGTGTCAACTGCCCATTCATTCCATTGTTGTTCAGGGTTTCAACATGGAGCTGAGGTGAATGATGAATTATTGGTGAATGATGGACACGCAGCCATCACCCCACACAACTTTAATCTCAGGCTAATTAGTGTGGGGGGGAAATCTACTTGGCTTAACCTGGAGAAAAACAAGAATGCACATCAGACGCAAAAGCAAGTGCTCAAGGTCAAAGACAACGTCTGCATAGAAAATATACTGATTAAACCTAGATATCCTGTTTTGTAGATTCAACTGAACTAGTATTTGGTTCTAAAAACATATCGTTAGAACAGTAAATTCCAGTTCCATAAGAATCAGAGTACGTAATCCAGCTACAGTTAAACACTTTTAAAACCTGTTGATTTCAACTTGGCTAAGTCTCTCGCACTAGAACTAGTGGTATGTTAAAAGTGCTTAATTTTGTTTTGTTCAAGCCCAGAGTACACTAGGTTATTTCCTTATTTTACGACCTCTAGTGAATTTTTTTTAAAAAAATTCAATATGC